GCTTTCTCATCGCTACCTTGCACCACCGAATCGTCGTTGAAACACCATCGGATGTCGTGAACAGCCGAGAGAGAGAGAGAGAGAGAGAGAGAGAGAGAAAGAATCGTTGGAGACCGGAATCAGAGCTATGAACGCGGACGCATGGTTTAAGAACGACGGGAGAGCGGTGGTCATTGTATCGCTTCATGAAGACGCAAACCACCGTCGGACGTCCGCCTACCGTCCTCAGCAACGTCGACTTCTCCTTTTCGCTTTAGTGAAGACTGAACCTTTTCTGCCGCTGTTTCTGTCGCTCATGGTTCCACCATTCTTCCCCTTCCGTCGATGAAACGTTCTATCCATGACCACCGCCGTCAGCCGCCGCTGATGTCGCTAGTGCTGCTGTTGCCGCCAGTCTACCCTTTTATGCATGCACCATCCACCATGAGAGGTGGTTGTGCCCATGTGTTGCGATGGTTTAGGGCTACAGGAGCTTTTCTTGGCCGGAGATCCGAAGAAAGACCCCATCGCCACCACCGTGAGGTGGTGGCTGCTACTCTCTACCGCCGCCTGCCGCCACAAGGTGGTTGTGTGTGTATTTTATTTGGATGTGTTATTTTTTGGATGCTTGGACAAAAATGGAATAGAACCATAACCACCACCGTGAGGTAGTGGCCACCGCCGTTGACCACCACTACCCGAGGTGGTAGTGGGTGGTGCCCGACTTATGAAACCCGAGTGGGCCTAATGAAACCCTAGTAGGCCTAATGAAACCCTAGTAGGCCTAATGAAACCCTAATGGATCTAAAGACTTAGCTTTTGGGCCTATCGTGTTGTGATTGGGTAGAAAACCCTAATTAGGGTTTAGAAAACCCTAATTAGGGTTTAGAAAACCCTAATTTTAGTATATATGGGTTATGGGTTGTCGGGACTTGCATTTTGGATGACCGGATTGGGATTATATATTAAGCCCGGCCACACTATATGATTGACCTAGTAGATTGATGAACTTAATGGATTAAGTCGTTAATGGGTTAAGTGAGAAACACTTAACCCTAATTGTCATTTTATGTGAAAACCCTATTCTTGCTTGGGCCTTAAGTTGAGCCTTCCTATTGGGCTTTGGTGATTGGGCTAGTAATGGGCCATCCAAGAACAAGCATATTGACTAGAATAATTTAATGGGCTTTAGGGTAAGGCCCATGTAAGGGGTTTTGGGCCCAATTTGAAAAATTGGGCCATAGATGGGCCATAACTGGGCCTTAAGGATCGTGAGAGGTTGGACCATTGGAAATGTCAAATGTATGGACTAGAATAAATGGTTGGGTCTTAGGGTAAGACCATGTAAAGGTTTGGGCTCAATTTGGAAAATTGGGCCATATGTTGGGCCTTGATTCATAGTTTGACTTTTGGGCCTTTGGATTGGGCCTTGAGTTTGAATCAAGCTAAGATGGGGGTAAAGTAGACTTTTACCCCAAACATGGACTTATGGATATATGTTGGAACCCAATTACTGATTGGGTGTTATTTTGATGATTGACAGTTCGAGAACCTGCCATCCAGCAACTAGAGTTTTGTCTGCGGGACTTCAGCAGTGTGAGGTGAGTTACCTTCCAGTAGAGGAGGGTCTAAGGCACCAATGCCGGCCCACCAGTAGGTGATTATGTATGAGATGATTGTCTTTGTGATATTTGTCTGGTTTGCCACTATCTGATATGTTTTTTGTGCTAGGATGCTTTGTTATATGTGTTAGTAGTAGTAGGGTGAAATAGTCCCCGGATACCAGTTGAAAGATACCGAATGGGTAGTCAGTACCCATGCATGCCTAGCAGTATGTTTATGTTATGTTATTATGTGGTAGTGGTAGGGGTGAAATAGTCTCTGTAGCCGGTTGACATAAACCGGAGCGTAGGTCGAGCACCCCAAAATTGCTTGACATGGGTAGGTCGGGCACCCCAGAATTGCCTGGCAGGGTAGGTCGGGCACCCCAGAATTGCCTAGCAGGGTAGGTCGCGCACCCCAACATTTCTTGACATGGGTAGGTCAGGCACCCCAAAATTGCCTGGCAGTATGTTGTTGGTATGGTATGTATGATGGGGGGAACTCACTAAGCTTCGTGCTTACGGTTTTCAGTTTTGGTTTCAGGTACTTCGTTTTCAAAGGAAAGGAGTCGGCTCGATCGCAGCGCATCACACTATGTTTTCCGCATATGAGATCTTTGGGATTACACTATGATATTGTTTATGATAACATGTTTTGATTATTGGCGCTTTGGTTTTGACATGGGATGTTATTATGGATGTTTTCTTATACTTTTGGTTTTATAATAACTTAATTAAAAATGAAATTTTTGGTCTTGAATTTTGGGATGTTATAGAGGAACTCGACGAGTTGGATCGCAATTCAGGGTTCCTGATTCATGGAACTCGACGAGTAGATGGACCAACTCGGCGAGTTGAGTCAACCAAAATGTTGACTTTGACCAGAATGTTGACTTTGACCAAAGTTGACCCTTAAGGGGTTATGAGTATGAAAAGGGTAATTAAAGGAAATGTTTATGTGTAGGAGTCTGAGAGGGGTTGATTTTAGAGCAGGAGTTTTTGCAGCTAATTCCCAGTTATCGAGGTGAGTTACCTTCCAGTAGAAGTGGGTCGAAGGCACCAATGCCGGCCCACTAGTAGTTGATTATAGTTGAGATGATTATCTTTGTGATAATTGTCTGGTATGACACTATCTGTTATGCTTTATGTGCTAGTATGCTATGATATTATGTGATAGTAGTAGGAGGGGTAGGTTAGACCCCGTAGCCGGTTGAGATAAACCAGAGGGTAGGTCGGACACCCAGATATGTCTGACAGTATGCTATGCTATGTTAGTGGTAGGGGTGAAATAGTCCCCATAACCGGTTGAAATAAACCGGATGGTAGGTCGGGAACCTAGATATGCCTGGCAGGGTAGGTCGAGCACCCATATATGCTTGACAGGGGTAGGTCGGGCACCCCGATATGCCTGACAAGGGGTAGGTTAAGCACCCATATATGCTCAGCAGGATAGGCCGGGCACCCAGATATGCCTGACAGTATGTTTATTGTATGGTATATGGTATGATGGGGGAACTCACTAAGCTTTGTGCTTATGGTTTTCAGTTTTGGTTTCAGGTACTTCTTCCTCGAAGGGAAAGGAGCCGGCATGATTGCAACGCATCACACCACTATTTTCCGCACCATGATGTTCTTGGGATTTATACTCAGACATTATTATGGCTTGTTTTGAGACATATGACTTTTGGGTTTTATGATATGAGATAACTTAATGATGTTTTCAGTAATCTGTTTTATAAATTATTAAACTAAAAATGAAAATTTTGGTCTTGGATTTTGGGATGTTACAATTACTTAACTAATTTAGCCATAATTAAAATGGAAGAAGTTTTATATACTTTATTCCATTGAGATATCAATGGCACTCAAGCATATGGATTTAAGATAGACTGAAGTTGTAAACGCCTAAGAATGAGAAGTGAAATGATCAAATAAATTATAAATATAGGTTTCAAAATAAAAAAATTTCTAGATAAAATCGACAATAAACCAAATTAAACATCTCTGGTAAAAACCATACATTGGTACAAGAAATGCGATAATGTTGAAGGTGATCATAAATAAATAACGCATATAATCACCAATGAATACAACTACCAAACAAGAAGTGGTTGTTAAAGAAAGCATATTTGTAGATGATAAATATAAAAGAAATTGTGTTTGACCTTTTGCTTGCAGTACTCATCATCAGTCTAACAATCCTCACTTATTGGGACATCACATGCCATTTAGGGTTATGTCCTTCTCCTCTCCTGATTGCGTCTGTAATGGAAGCCATCCAAGAAAAAAATTATTTGAAATACAAAATAAATAGAAATATAGTTAACTAAATCAAAATCTATTTGAAAAACTCAATAACATTAATATGTTTATTGAGTGTAATCATCAATGATTAAAGGACCATATGTGAAAGAAAATCCATCTTCCAATCTGATTTGTAGGTTATTACAGTAGGGAAAAAAAATTATGCCATAACTCTCCTTCAATCAATTACCAGTAGGCGTATACTCGTTTTTTATAGCCTAGATCATCGGGAAATCAGAAGGGACCGCAAGACTACTCATGACTGAAAAAAAAAGATGGAAAGACTTACAAAATATGGAATTTAGCTTGCTCGAATCCAAGAACACAAAATTAGGAAGAACTCTTGGAAACCTTGTAGTCGCCTCTAAAACTCTCTATCTCTCTCTCACACACACACATCTTCCTGATTTCTCATGCACTTGGTGAAGCCCTAGTTTTATGAAAAAAGTAGAAGCTCTAATCATCACCTGCCAGCATCATCTTGACAGGACGACAACCTCAACCCTTAATCACCAGGTAACCACCATCGACATAGTCCCCATCATCGACCTTTATCTTCACAGTAACACATTCAAGCAAAATCAAGATCAATTCTTCCCAGATTAAAATCGATTTGTAGGTCTAGAATCTCCAAAGAAAGTCGATAAACAAAGAACGAGTTGTAGGAGTTCGAATGAAAATCGATTTGGAGGTCTTAAAATCGAGTTGCAAGTTTTGTAGATTTGCTGAACGAAAAAAAGATGAACGCTTTGATGATGGTGCTGGTAGCGTATGGTGGTGGAGGCCGGTAGATATTAGGGTTTAAAGCTTTAAAATCGGTAGAGAGAGAGAGAGAGAGAGAGAGAGAGAGAGAGAGAGAGAGAGAGAGAGAGAGAGAGAACTTGATAAAAATAGGATAAAAAATAATGACCATATTTAGTCTATTTTCAATTTGCAGTTTAATCCCTTGACTTTTTAGAAATTACACAAATAACCTGTTAATCTTAATATTTGAAAGGGTTGATCTATTCTCACATTGTTAATCTTTTAATTATTCTCAATTGATTTAGATATCATATGTTAAAATAATAGACAATATGACGGATACAACCGTCACCTAAAATACTTTACGTTTCTCTTTTTTTTCTCCCACGCGCGAGCACATTTATATTCTTCCACCGCCGCCGATGACCGCCATATGCCCGTAGAAATCATTTCTACCATATATTCCGGACGAAACTTAATTTTCCAGACAAATAACGTTCCCTTTCAATTTCTACCATCAAAATCACGCACAGTTTGACTCTAAATCACAAATCAGACTCGAAAATATGTCGGAGAAATTCTCGGCCACACTAAGGATCGGTGACCTTAATGATTTCATCGCACCGTCACAGGGCTGTGTTGTTTCTATGAAGTCCGGTTCCGCTAGGCTCGTTGATAAGCCAAAGGTTTCTATCATCTCTACTTTCTGAACCCTAGCTTGTTTTATACTAATCATAACCCATGTTTTAGCTAATTGTTCAGTTTTTACGATGCTTTTGACTTGGTCGTGATTCTACTAACTTCATCAGGAATGTGTTAGAGCACTAGAACGTAGAACTCTCTGATTTTAGCTTAACTTTTGAACGGAAAGGAATAGCTTTGCTATGCTTTATTGTGAATTTAACTGCGCGTCTAAGTTCTAACCCTAGTTCGTTAGCTGTAAAACCATTAACATTTGTTCTAGCCTTTAACTTGCTTCTAGATTTTGTTGGAATTGTAACCACACTAGAATAGTAATATCCTGTGATTTTATTCAGAAAGTTGCCCTCTTTCAGTTTATCATCACATCCAAAAGGTGTATGTTTCGCTTTCAAATTGCAAACCAGTCTATAAAAAGTATCACAAATAGAATGGTGTAGGTGTTTAACTTCCGACTTAATTGACAACAATTTTGCATTTGAAAAGCTTAGGTTTGACATGAATATCAAGTTGCATCTTCTTTGCTGGAATGGTGGGTATATTTGTTATTTGGGAAAACCATCTGAATTCACGAATTTGTATGATTGTATCAATGCTAGAACAGTTTTAACTTGTGATTTCAGCAACCATAAGAACAGACCTATTACACATATGACTATTGTTGTTCACCAAGTGCTTTTTCTTTAACAGAAGCTGGTAAAAACAACACCTGTTAAAGAAACTCTTCAAACAGATCCAGTAAAAATATCACTCAAGGATTGCTTAGCATGCAGGTAACACTTCCTGATCACTAGCTCCTAGAAGCCATTATACATCAAGTGTTGATGAATTGAATTGGTAACAATAACATTGTTATAATCATGCAGTGGGTGCATTTACTTCTGCAGAGACTGTTATGTTAGAGAAGCAAAGCTTGGATGAGTTTCTATCCAATATAAACAATGGCAAAACTGTTATTGTCTCTCTTTCACCTCAGTCAAGAGCTTCCATTGCTGTGCATTATGGTCTTTCTCCACTTCAGGTAAATTCCTTTATATTAGCACCCTTCCACTTTCTTTATCAATCAATGTGCAATGAAAATTCAGTATCTGTTTGTGAATGGCATGCTTTCAGGTTTTCAAGAAACTGACTACACTTTTCAAATCTTTGGGGGTTAAAGCTGTATTTGATACAAGTTGTAGTAGAGATTTGTCTCTTATTGAATCTTGTAATGAATTCATATCACGTTATAAACAAAGCAATTCAGATGACAAGGAATCTTCTAGATCATTTCTACCCATGATATCCTCTGCATGTCCAGGTTGTGTATTATAGCATCCTACTTTCATCTCTTTCTATTACATCATTATACTTTCATATTTTTTTTTCTTTTTAAGGCATTCTGCTTTGAAAAATCTAGTGAATTATAGCAGTGAACAAAGTGCATTTAAGATTTAACCCTTTCTTGTTGTATACTTTCAGGGTGGATATGCTATGCTGAAAAAACACTTGGTTCGTATGTTTTGCCATATATTTCTTCAGTGAAGAGTCCTCAACAATCCATTGGAGCTATCATTAAGCACCATCTATGCCACAAGCTAGGCATTAGGTGATCATTAGATTGAAATAATTTGAAATTACAAGATTAAATATTAAAAATGTGCATTAATTTGTATAGGCCAAGTGAGATTTATCATGTGACAGTGATGCCTTGTTATGACAAAAAGCTGGAGGCTTCAAGAGATGATTTTGTTTTTCATGATGAATCTGGTGAAATGACTACAGAGGTAGATTCTGTTTTGACAACTGGAGAGGTCTTAGATTTAATACAGGTAAAAGACTCAACAATGAATTTTTCTCTGGTTAAAAATAAAATATGACTCATCCAATTCCTAAAATATCCTTCATATGATGATGATGGGCAAGGGCAAATAGGTAATTTTTGATATGAGGTCAAAAATACAGAAATAAATCTAGTTTCTGTTATTTTTGCAGACAAAAGCAGTAGTAGATTTCATGAATTTGGATGAATCCCCTGTTGATAAATTGTAAGTGTACATATTTGGCTAAATTTAAAATTTGTTGAAATAATAAAATTGATATTTATTTGATTGGCAATGGCAGGTTATCGAATGTGAGTGAAGAAGAGAATCTTTTTGGGGTTAGAGGAAGCTCAGGAGGATATGCAGATACAATCTTTCGTTATGCTGCAAAGACACTTTTTGATCAGGATATCAAAGGCCCTTTGGATTTTAAAACCATTAGAAATTCTGACTTTCAGGAACTCAGCTTACAAGTACGTTGTGCTGTAGAGTATTTGGATTTTTTTTTTATTTTATTTTTTTGTTTATTTTTATGTGAATGTGAATGTGTAGGTAGAAGGTAAAACAGTATTGAAGTTTGCATTGTGTTATGGGTTCCGAAACTTGCAAAATGTAGTCAGGAAACTTAAAATGGGAAAATGTGACCATCATTATTTGGAGATCATGGCATGCCCTTCAGGTATAAAAACTTAATTTTTATTTTATTTTTTATTTTTATGAGCTTATTATATTTTGGAAAAATCTACCCAGGGTGCTTAAATGGAGGTGGGCAGCTGAAGCCAAAATCAGGACAATCTGGCAAAGACTTGATTCAAGCATTAGAGACCTCGTACATGCAAAACGTAAGTATTCCTGTTTTCTTTCTTTTACTTTGATTTAATTATTAATGTATTACTATATTATATTTATATATATATATATATATATATATATATATATATATATATATATATATATAATGTTAGGTTTTGGTTGCGGATCCATTTGAAAACATGATGGTGAAGAGGTCATACGAGTCATGGCTGGAACATCCCGGTTCTGAAAAAGCAAAGCAACACATACACACACAATACCATCCCATTGTAAAAAGCATTACTTCTCAGCTCAATAACTGGTGAACAACCACTTTCAACTTCTCATGTCCTTCAACATTGACTTTTTTTGCGTTGACCTTATGCCAACTGGTGAAGAAGTTGCAATTTTGAATTTTGATGGTGGTAATAAAAAGATTTATTCTAAATTCATACACACAAGAGAAAGACACGTCACGAAAGGGATTGGTGTAGGTGTATTTTTATTTCTTATGTATTTTGTAGATATATATTTTGTAATTTTTATGGAGAACGTGTATAATTTTATCTTAGTTTGTTAATTCCTTTTGTTTCCAATGCACTTTATACTAAAACACCCTTGTTTGGTTCTTTTAATGGCTGCCTAATAACAAAAATCATCAAAAGGGAGGGTTTTGATATAAAAGAAAAACCATATTTTTTAACATTTATCTCACCCGTTCTGGTCAGGTGAATATACTTTGTAGTTTGTAATATTCATTAATTTCGTCAAACAACTTCGGTAGATATTAGTGAATCTTTAAGTCTGGTATATGTTCTTGGGCCAAAATCTGAAAAGGGGTGTCCTAAACATAATATCGACTCCACGGTCTATAAATATCCTTATGACCTTTTTATTATAAATGAAGTAAGTTTGATGTGGTATAAAATCGATTTGGAAAATGCATTTGATTCCTAGTTGTGGGAGTTTCTTGACTCTGTCTTTGGTAGTAAGTGGAGAAAATGGATTCATGGTACACTTACTTCCGGTAGGGTTTTGATTCTCATCAATGGATAGTTTAGTATTTCTAAAGGTGTCCGGTAAGGGGATTTGTTTTCCCCCTTCTCTTTATCTTGGCAATTTAGGGTCTTAATGTTGCTTTAAAGTTGATGATTGATAATTATTTATTCCATGTCTAAGGGATGACGCACCATGTCCGACAAAACAATCACAAATATGCCCCTTGGGGCGTCGTGTTTTTCTGGGCAAAAACACTTCTTCGATTAAGTGCTAAATCCCTTTAGTCCAATGTTCGTACTCTCGTATCTGAATCAAACAAGGGTCTTAATATATAACTTTCCAACTTTATCCGGATACATGGCTCAATCAAGCAAAATACTAAACCCTAACTAAAAAAGGAGTCTAAAACGACCAAAACTTTGTGCATGGCTTAAAGAGAGTTCTATCGTGCATTCAAAAATGACCCAAAACAAATGTCTAGAAACCATTCAAAGACAATCACAATGTTTTGGAGTTCGAAATGTTCTGGTTCAAACTCCAAGAACATCAAGAAAAAGGAATCTAAAAGGCAAAAAACTCATCCATCCATGGATCTATGCATGAAACAACATAAAACAAGAAACTTTGAGACTTACAAAACTTGCAATGGGTCTAGAATGTGGAATCTTTTGCTGGAATTAGCTTCACAATGCACCAAATGCTTCATTCATCACCAAGAATCATAAAACAAGCTACAAGGAGATAGAGGTAAAAGGTTAGGGTTTCTCTTGTGTGTGTGTGTGTGTGTGTGTGTCACACTGAGGAGGGGGGGGGGGGGGGGGGGGGGGGGGGCTTGAGGACAGTGAAAAACCCTAAATTTTAGATCCATTAAATAGCATCCAAAACCGGAGACCTAGGATTTTGAACTGTTGCATCAACGCAGCACACTTTTCCACAGACGTGTCATGCTTTTCCATTGTGATTACGCACCACGCCTTTCCATAGACAAGTCGTGATTTTCACTTCCCCGCCTAACACCATTTTCTTATTTTATAAAATTGCCTATAATAACTTATCCGGAAAACAGGCGCTACACTTCTTAAACCTTTGTTTTGATATATGTTGCAGCTTTTTCTCATGAAATGTTTTTATTAAACACTAAATGTTTTGAAATTTTGGTTTGGGAGCATTATCCACATTTTAATTCTAAAAAATATTTTAATTTAAACTTTGAAACCGTTTTCCGCAAACTAAAACTTTTAGATTATTTTATAGGATATCATTAAAGGTCATTTCAAATAAGCTGTTGACAGGGTGTTACATTCATTGTCTAACTTATTTTAGTGTGTGTTCAGATTGAAAGACTTGACATATCAGCATCATGGATTTTAGAAGTCCCCTACTTGTGGGGTAATTAGACTATTCTTATCAATCCAATTAGACTATTCTTATGATATCTAACTAAAACCTCTCTTTTTCAAAACAATTACTTAAACTTTTTAGACCAATTAATATTTTTCCGCATGAATTATGAAAGTTTGGAACTTTTAAGCATATATAATTTAAAAACTCGTTTTAAAAAATGTATTATTTTTCAAACCATCCAACAATGGGTGTTATAAAAATATCGATCATTTTTAAAGAGAAGACCTTTAGATGGTTTTGAGAATGAAGGAGGAGAACGTGAAAAAATATTTACAGTAGATTTGATATTGTAATTTTTTTTCTTTTTTTTAGTTCATGGTTTTTTATAACAATTATGTACTTTCTGTAACACCGTAAATTTTCAAACCAAAATTTTCATTTTAAAATCACATATTCTCATAACACATTTAACAAAAATCTCATTTATTTAAATTACAAAATGCAACTCCATAATTGTTTGATTAATAATCCAGGATCCTCAAAACATAACTCTTTCTCTGGTGTGTGTACAATCAAGTCGGCGTCTTCCCGCGACCTTGAGAATAACCTGAAACACATATCACATAACATGGTAAGCACGAAGCTTAGTGAGTTCCCCAAAATACCACACATATCACATTAGCCTCTCATGGCTATACTAAAATAAGACCCCCGGTCAGTGTATCTCAGTAGGACCCTCCGGTCCCAAAACTCGGGTGGACTCTCCGGTCCTAACTCAATAAGCTCATGATAATAATACTCATCATAAATCACAAAGACATAATGCAAAATATCACAATACACATGTAAACACATAAGACATCACGGTCACACAAAGATACCACTCATGGTAAGTATAGAGAGAAGACCCACCTCAGATGATGAACAACTCCTATAGATGCTGCTGCTGCACACCGACCTCTAACACTGGACCAAGATCCACAATTACCCAATTAAGATCTAAGTCCAAACCCTCACTCTTTAGGTCTAAAGGTAGTCCACTAACTAGCCCATCAATAACCTAAACCTCATTTGGGCTCACCAAAGCCCAATAATAAATGGGCTCTCCCGAGGCCCAACTCTCAAGTCCAAGTGACTAACCCAACTCAAGTGACTAACCAAACTCCAGGCCCAACACTCAAGGCCCAAAATGAGACTTAGCCCAAAAGTCCACAGTGAGGTTACGCGGGGCGTACCTCCCTTGGTACGCTCAGCGTACTCACGAATCTAGATTAGCCATCGGGGACACCTGGTCAGTATGCGGGGCGTACTGGAATTACGCTCAGCGTACTTCCCAAGTTCACTCTTTCTACTCATTTGGTCTTAATCCGTTAAAACCTTGGCTCATATCACAGATCTGGACTCCCTAATATTACTCCATAAAGTCAGTGACTTTAAGCCTTTGCATGGCTAATAAGGTCACAAACACACAAAACTCTCACTTTCTTAGCTCAAAATGCTCATATCTCATGCATGGCTTGATTCCAACGTCCAAGTCTTGATTTTATGGCACTACACCACTAAATACACTCAAAGAGGTTGCTCAAAGTCTCTGGAGCTCAATATCTCATAAAGTCTCCAACTTTTGGGACAAAACCCTAAAATACTCTACTATGATGCACAAATCAAAAGAGTGAGAAAGCTTGAAGCTTTATACCTCTATATGAAGCTCCCAACATAGATATGCTCAGATCCAAGGGCTTGAACTCTCACTCCTTCTCCAAAGCTTCTTCTTCACTCCAAGAACATACAAAACCACCCAAAGGCTCTCAAATGCACTCACAAGCTCTATGAACGAAGATTTAGGGTTTTAGAGGGTTGTTTGTCTGAAGATGGTGGCCAGGAATGAGGCCATCATATCCTTTATATAGGGACATACCCAAAATTAGGGTTTTTACTCTGTGCCTAGTACGCACAGCATACTAGGTGGCTCCGCTTAAAAATCACGCACACGAGTACGCTAAGCGTACACACACGTATGCCCAGCATACTCAGCTGCCACCTTTCTCAATTAATGGACTTTTCTTGACAAAACTTCAAACCTCCATAGTTTCCTCGATATAACTCTGTTTCCAATGAACCTTATATCCATGGAAAGGTGACGAGAAGCCCTACGCTTCTAGCAACTCGTCGCAGCCCGAGGCTCCATCATGCCCGGGTTGCAGCTCACAAACCCTAATTATGGACGATCCGAATCAGGATGTTACAATTCTCCCCCACTTGAATTAGATTTCGCCCTCGAAATCGCTCCTTATCAACACATAGATCGAACCCAATAACCCGAGAAGCACCACCGAAAGAACCTAATATCATACAAAAATCTCTTCCAAAGACACCTGAACCCAACAGGAAACTCCCGACCCTGAAGAAGGACAGACCCTTCTGCCGCTGCGCTACTCGATCTGTCTCTCCAGAACTTGAAAACTCTAGTGGTATGTCTCCCTGTCAGACCACCCTCGCAAAATATCATCATGATAATCGCTCATCAAATAACAGACTCAAAGAACACTCTACCAATTCTGATTCTCTAATCGATCCCGATCGAACTCAAAAGGAACGGAAAGGTCTCATCCCACCAAGGACCCACCGCCTGACAGCTATCAGAACTCTTTTGAAGGAATGATCCTCAAAACTCTATCCTCAAACACAAGAAAGCGGCTAAGCCAGCTCGGAACGATCCTCTGACACTCTAAATCATAAGCCCTAGTTCCTCTCAAATATCCCTTCCAACACTGAGCACCAGGTCAACTCCCGACCCAATAGTTGAACCTTCAAAAGTTACCCACTGTACACCCAATAAAAGGACTTACCGGCTTCCTTCTCACAATAACTATCTCGGCTCATTGTGACACACAAGTCACAAAGTCCGCTTTACCCCAAGCGAATACTACAACCCCACCTGAAGTTGTCTCACCTCCGACCTCCGTCATCTACCACCTACTGGTTCCATGCGTCTCGCGACTCTTCTCATACCAACGAAACTGACCTACTCCGGTCTAAGACATCAGATGAAGATCACTACCCCTCAAAATGAAACCTATCTACGAATCTGGAACCTCATCTCGCCTACTCAATACATGAATTGTCCCAAACTCAACTCGAGAGTATGATTCAATAGCAGACTTGGAACCACTCATTTCCAATATGATACTCAACCCATACCCGTGATTCGCGAATTTATGCACACATCATCTCTCTAATTTCATCCGATTACGGTAA